TTTTAAATAATATATCCAGTGAAAGTAATGATTGATTAATCTGTTATCTACTTGAAATCGAAAAGCTTCGAAAGTCGTCTGATTTCACACTTGTCGATTACGAGACACTTTAATTGGAAACACTTTTTTTCACGTTCAACACATATAATTTGATTCTTTGCAAGATATATTTATAAATTAATTAAATAAATTATTTAATTTAAGTTTTAATGAATTATTTAAATAAAAAGTAGGAATATTAAAATTAAAAAAAAGAGTTATCTAAGGAATCATATCAAATGATTTCATTTTTTGAGATAAAATATTTAGAAGTTAAATTTTACTTTTACATATGCCACAAAAAGGATTATTTTAAAAAATTACATGAGACTATGTGTTTCAATCAATTTATAATTTTTAAGCGATAATAATCTAACACAACGACTTTATTTTGCATTTTTAACTTTTTTATAAAAAATATTGCAATTGCATTTGTAAGTTACTTTTATTATTGTTGTTATTTGTATCGATGTATATAAATAATAAAGATTTGTATTAACTATCACAAAGAAAATTAAAAATATTATTTACAAATTTTAATATGGAAAACATTTTAATGCAATTAATTCATTAACGTATTAATTTTTGTTACTTCGTTATTTCTAATTAAAGTTATTTTAATAAAAATACATATTTATCGATCAACAACTAAATTCTGAAATTATAATTTCTTTTATAAGTTATCTTATAAGGATATTTATAGATATTAAATTAATTTTTGAAAAAGATCAAATGCACGTGATGTCTAGAGTATCAGTTTTCAATTTGTGCAATAAAAAATGAATAACACAATAAATATAAAATAATGCAATTTTAACAATTAGATACAATTTTAAAAAGATTGGTATCACAAGAAATTTTTTTCAAATCAAATGCAACGTGATAAGTGATATAATTTAAAATTAATATATTTTTTGAAAAACATGATTTTCAAATACTCAGGTGAAATTTTGATCTACGAAATATTAGATCATACTGTTTATATCTTACGCGTAGTAAAACAGATTTTTCAAAATTGATAAAATTAATTAAACTTAAACAAACGAGGAATAAGACTATTTAAGACAGCTATTTTTTTCAATTTTAATTGATTTATGGTTGTTTGCTATAACAATAAACAAGAAAACCTCTGACTCACTGACTCAAAAACATTGCATCGATCTCACGTCGAATGAATCGACGTTCCAAAAATCTAAAATATTCATAAAAGCGTTTCTTTTCACAAATAGTTAATTGTAATATAAAATTCTGCTGCAGCACACAACTAGCTTTTCTTTTTCTAGCTTTGATCGTGATTTTGTCGGAATTATATCTCTCAGATTCACAGTAAACAATAAACTAATCGATTTTTTAATGATCAACGTTGTAGAACTTTGCGAAATTAATACCTTTTCTAAGATTAAAAAAAAATAATAATAATATAAAGTAATAACAAAACAATATTAATATAGATAAAGTAATAATAATAATATAATATAATATATAATAAATAAAAATAATAATATAAAGTAATAATAAAACATACTTTTAAAGCTGAAAGATCGTTAATTTACGAATTCGTATCCTTTTAATTTAAAATTTATTTATTCGTAAAGGACTTTTGTTTGAAATCAGGTTAAAAACTTATTCTTGATATTTCAATGTTCATCTTGGCAAAGATTTTCAACGTGAAACAAGCCTGTAAAGACACATAGCTACAAATATAGCTGATACATTCGTCGATGTTTAATATTGAAAAACTGGAAAAGGCAAGTCAAATCATAATTAATTAGGGTTACGCGTTTCTTTCTGTCGCGATGTTTCGTCAGCGGATGCGGGTCGCGGTTGCCGCGCGAAAACGGCGTCCTTTATCGATTCGAAACGATTTTAGAGGGTGGTTTTGCCCCCGACGTTTTTGATTTCAGCATGCATCCTCGATACGAGTCTCGAGGCAACGCTTCGCCGCTTCGAATTAAGGGGTGAGCCGAAAGGAGTGCCCTACCCCTAGGGTCGATTCACGGACAAAACAGAGAAAGGGAGATAAGAGATGGAAGTCGCGAAGAGTAGAAACGGAGCACCGAGAGAATCGAGAATGGAAGATGCGGAACGGAGGATAGAAAGGCCAATCACTGAAACGAAACGAGAAAACCAGCTCTCTACCAGTTATATATTTATTTCCTCTGTCGAATAATCGTTTCCTGAATAATCAATAAATACGAATATAATTCATACATATAAGTTATATTTACTTGTGATCAATTTCTTCTTAGAGATACAGTGATGAGCATAACTATAATGAATAATAATGGAAGGTCGTCGATAATTTAAATAAAAAAGATCCGCTTGATCTCATTTTAACACTTTGATGGCGGTCGTTGTATGCTTCACTTTGATTAAATTGGTTAAAATTAATGAAAATATCTATTAACTTTAGAACCACCGTATTGAAATATTTCAGATCAGTAAATCATTATAATTTAAATGATTAATCGAAATAAGTAGATCTATACAATTAAATTTCTGTCTCTCCAAACAAAGATCGATATTAATTTTAACGAGAATACTCGTAGTTTAGAAACGAAAGTCTGAAATCAAAATAATAGACAATTACTTGTAAAACTTTTATAACATAAAACTTCTATATCCTAATAAATGATACTTATTTTTTACGCAACCATCGTTACAAACATCCCGCCAGAAAAATGTTAAAGCGTGAAGCTTCTACTTTATTAGCAATCGTGAGCTCATTTTTCTCGACGATGATTACATCATGTAATGTAAAAGTTAAGATGAAAATGTAAGGATACTTTACTCTCGAGGATTGTTCAAAATTCAAATTTATGTGAAACTAATAAAAAAAATTGTTGTTTTCATGATTAGATGATCCACCATGATCTTGAAGATTGAAATCTCTTTAAAACTTGCTGCACGATTTTTCTGGACATTAGAACTGGATTTGGATGATTTTCTTTACGAAGTTTATCGATGACCTTTCATCATTTGTTGGTTCAGTTTATTTGCTACCTTTGATTCAATTTTTGTTATATATTTAATTATATGTGCGTATGCATGTTATACGAGGGTACACATAAAATATTAAATATAAAAAAAATCCTATATTTTTAACATTATACTCTATATATTGTAACATTATAGAGTTTAAATATTGCAGTACATCATTTATTATTGCAAATATAATAATTATAGATTATACTTAAAAATTTTCAAGTCTCTTTTGTATTTTGAAAATTTCAATCACTTTTAATGTCAATACCATAATATATATATATATATATATATTATAATTATATAAAATTGAAAACTTTTAATACTTTTATTTTATTCTAAATTTACAAGAACTTTTACTTAAAAAAATCACCAATTTATCAGTTGCTCTAATTTACAATTGGAGGATAAAAAGAGTTCACTAATTTTAACGAAAATACCAAAATGATAGAAATCGTTGGGAAATGAAGATACGTTTTATTTTGTAAAAGCAGAGTTCATTCTTTTCAAACGTACTTCTTTGTTGATTCCAAATTTGAAATTTCATTCCCTTTAAATCAGAATTCTTCTCCTATTCACGTGTAGAAAAATAATATTTATATTATCTTTAATAGAAATCAAATCTTTCACACATGCAACCCTCCGATTTCGGAATTTCGTTTGTCCAGGGAAATGTCTCGAATGAAATATTATACCGAGGATGAAAGCAGTGGTAACGCTATACGTACAAATGAAAATGTTCACCTCGTCGCAATATGGACACCCCCTTACGTTTGAAACATGGGCATTCGCAGTCGTTTCGGTTGTAAGGTACGAGTCGACTTACAGCATTCGAGACAATGTGCAACTCGTTGAAATACGCCACGGCATTCAGAAATATTCCCAACATACGTATATACGTAAATACTTAATACGTAACAAGATAATAGAACGAAACAACTGCACCACCTCTCGACACAATCGTGGCGAAATTGAAAAGTAAATTAAATATTTTTCACAGTTTTTTCTTTTTTTTTTTTTTTTTTTTTTTCGTCACTTATTAGAAACTTTTGGCAGTTCAAATAATGAAGATATATATTTTGCTATCCATGCTTTATTAATTTCCACGCTGCTGTTGAAAAACATTTTTCCTGAATTTCCTCCATTACTATTTAGTAAGTATGATATTTGTTTGAGTTCAACGTTTTGTACTTGTTACGAAAATAAATTTGACAGAAATTCAAGTAAATAAATGATCCTCTTCTGATCTTGCCAAATGAGAAACAATTGTCAAAAATGGTACAAACAAGTCAAGTTTTAATTCGAGGATCGATTCAATTTCGATTTTGATTATGAAATTTAAACTGCTTTCAGCAGAATCATACATTGCGATAAGCTTACAAATATTTACATTGGTATCTATTATATTTCATATTGCACTTCATGCAAGTAAAGTATCAAAGAAGATAACATACATATATTTGAACAGTTATCTCAACATAGGTAATTTTAGATTTCAAACAAATATCGTAATTGTCTCAAGAGATTTGAAGATAAGGCTCAAGATTAAATGAAGAAATATAATAAACACAAAAGGTAAACACTTGTGGCTAAAGCAATTGAGCATAACCGCGAACGTTACATACTTCGCGTTTTATTCTCTATTCATTTTAATGAAATATATAACGTAAGTTAATAGGTATATTTATACCTAAATGAAATATAATTGTAAATTGTAGTTTCCATTGTAACTTCAAGTCGTTAAATTTATCAACTTGGTTAAATCGTAAATTATTACTAATTAACTTTCGACGATGGTGAACCAAGCGGAAACTCGCGGTGAGAAACAACGTTCCGTTCTCCTTGGATGCGACGAGATTTGTCAAGCTAGTGCCTGAAGCTTATTCTAGAAAACGCTCGGTTTTCTTCGCGTAATCGAAGAAGCTTGAAGCTCGAATTGGTTTGGGGTACGGGATCGAAGGAGAGAAACAGAGTAACTAACCTTTGCATTCGTTGGCATCTCTGGCAGTGGCTCGTGCCCATGGTCGATCGAAGTGGAACGGGCGGCATCTCTCGCAGTCTCTGCCAGCGGTGTTGTGCCTGCACTCGCAGGCGACCTCGCCGTCCTTGCCTTGGATGCACCTTGCCGCGTGGCCATTGCACTTACACCTGCCGCCGACGGCGAAGTCCGAGACGGCGTAATGATGAGCAAGCGTGCTGGTGCCGAGATTGCTCGCAAGGGTGCTGCTCGTGCTGGTGGAGACGGTGACGGCCGCCGCAGCGAATCCACCGCTCTCACCGTCATCCACCGCGTCGTTCGATTGCATCTCCTGCGGCGCGATAACCTGATGGACCGAGGGCAAAGCGGTGGCCAATGGATCGAGTAAACCACCAGCACCACGGGCCGAGCTCTTCTGCTGGTTCTTCAATCTCTCCTCTCTTTCCCTCTCGCGTTTCGCCAACTCTTCAAGGCCGAGGCCGTGATCGTCGCCATTGCCACCACCTAGCTGCAAGACTTGTTGTTGTTGTTGTTCCTGCGACGAGGGTTGCTGGGGTATGTGAAGCCGATTGAAAACGACGCGGACGTCGGTGGCGGTGACCCAATCCTGGAGGACCGGCGAGTTATCAAAGTCGGAGGCCGACGGTCGACCCTCGAGGGTGCTGAAGGCGATCCTGCCGACGGGCGCGAGGCCGTTACCACCGGTGTACCGATGGCTGTCGGTGCATCTCGCCTCTTGCTCGTTCGCTTTGGTGATGGTCGCTCGATTCGGCCTGCCGTACACCCTGCGACACTGCGACGAGTAGAACTGGAACGGTTGCCACGTTTTCCCATAGTCCATCGACTTGTAAATAGCGATGGAATCCGGCTTCGCTGCCTTCGGGCAGAACTGCAGGCTAACGTAGGTCAGTTCGTACTTCTTTCCAAGGGAGAGGGTCAAGGTCACGTTGTCTGGCGGCGCGGAGAAACTCTGCAAGGTGACGAGCGGCTCGCTCCGCCAGCAGGTCACGTTGTTCGGATTGCTTACGTCGGTGAGGTAGCTCGCGGGGAATCGACGCCGTGGCGTACTGTCGTCGCAGATATGGCACTGACCTATGCCCGTGCTACCACCCGGCTGTTCGATCACGTCGCAGTACCTCGTGGGCCCGCCGCTTCCGCAGGTCGACGAAGCTTCCACCGCCGCGCCGAACGCCGCGTTCACGAAATTCGGGATGCATCGGCGTGGCCTGTCCTCGTCGTAACACGGATCCGACGGATGTTGCTGGCTCGGGAACGTCTTCGCGTAGATCTCGCTGCCTGCCAATGCGTCCCCACAGTCGAACAGAATCACTCCGCAGATGATGATGATCCCGAATAATAAAGTCCGCGCCGCTCCTCCGCCGACTATCTTCATCTTCGACCGTGTGTGTATGGTGTTCTTCGCGCGCGATACGATTCTCCTCCCCTCCTCCTCCTCCTCTTCTTCTTCTTGCTCCTGTCCACCCCCACAGCCTCTTGTTGCTCTCTGTCACCTACGCACAAACCGTTCTTGCTTCCTGCTGCTCGACAATTATTTCCTCGTTCTGTTTCCTCTTTTCTGAAGAAAGAAGAACGACGACGACGACGACGACGAGGCTCGCGATTCCCGTGATCCTCCGCGCGATTCCGTTTGATCAGCTAGCGTGTCTCGAATCGTCGATCCTACGCTGCTCTTCTGCTCGTCATACCGGCCCATTGATTAAACACTTTCAAAGTGTCGACCACCATGCCCATCGCGAAGCCATCCACCTCGATTTTACCACCTCGTATTATCGCATTATACGTGTATTAAAAAAAGGGCTCGCGAAACATAAACGTTGGGGCCCTCCGCCCCCCGCGTTAGGCGAACCGTTCAAAACGTGGTTAACCAATCGTTTCCAACGTTCGACGATTCCACGCGGGCTAACCAGCTTCGATATATTTCATCGAGTGTATACCTCTCAGGTACATTCGATCTTCAAGCAGAATGTGCGTGTGAGTTTCATTCCTAAGCAAACGTAAGTGCACAATTGCTTAGGAGCGCGTGTGCGCGCGTACACGCGACAACGTACGTTCGAAGGTGGAAAAAAACGAGGAAATGTATGTCTCGGTAAAGCGGAAACACGATGCACGATGCACGATGCGCGCCGCTCGATCCAAACTAGCGCGATGCGATGAGCAAGGAAAACAAAAAAAACCGACAATCAACAATCCTACACCGACGGCGGCTCGCCGCTAACTGAATCACCGTCCTTGCACGGTGTGCATCCGAACTGTTCCGAGTGTTCCCTCTCTCTGACTCGCAGTTCCCCCCACCTTTCCTCTTCTCTCGCTCAACCGAGTCTCCCTCTCTTTTCGCTTTGACCGCCGACTCGCATCCTCTCATCCAAGTCCAATTCTCCTTCGGCCAATCCGGCAACGCCACTACTCGCCACGACCCCACTACTCGCGTTCCGCCACACTGGATCGAGGATCCAGCAGCCACGCTGCGCTACCGGAAACCAGCCGACCGCTGGACCAGCAGACGATATTCCCTTCGCTCCTCTCTTTTCGCTCCTCTCTTTCACCTCCTCGAGCAGCTCCGTTCGTTCACTTTAAGGAAGATCGGCCCGATGAAATTTTTGGAGGGCTGCGCCAAGTTTCGACCAGAATCCAGTATTAACTTCGGTCGAGCCGTCATCTTGCTCGAGTTAGTTGTCTCGCGCAGTTGTCTGAAAATTAATCTATTTTTCATCATTTCACGTTAACCGTCTCAAAGCTAATTATTCTTGTAATAATTATTAAAAATTTTTCTTTCTTTCATTATGGAATATCAAGTATTATATAATAGTACGAGCATGTAACAATGCTTTAAAAAAGTACAGTTACACTTGTACAGTTACACCTTCTGCTCAGGATATGTAATAATGATAATAAATATACGAAGGATGTATCCGAATATTTGTCATCATTGAAATGTGTGCTGAAATTTTTACAATATTTGCTTTTACAATTTTACAATAGTAACTTGATTGACTTATGTATTTCGTGTTGAAACGAAAAATAATATTTACTATATGCACTGAATTATCTATAAAAATTATTCTGTGCGATAAATTTTTATAGGTAAATGTTAATTAATAAAACATTGCAGTTCTTCGTGCTTTTTACATATATATTCTACCACTATTTTATAACTAATTAGTAATTAATTCGGAATATTTCTTACTGAATATCTTCACAAAACAAATTATACGATATGATTAATTTATTAATAACACGTGACTTACTTTCCCGAAATATCATTTATAATTTTTGTATTAAAATTACAAAATATTAAATATTGCAATGTAAAAATACAATATATAATACAGCTAACGAAAAAGCTAGACTAAAAATTATTTATTTATTTCATGTTATAAAGTAAGTTTGAAATTTTTAAATAAGTTAGAAAGTTAATTAAAAATCTTCAATATAAATGCAAATATGACTCAAATATAATGAAAATAATATAATAAAATGCATCGTATGCATCTTGAAATATTATACGTGTTATGAAAATACTTGGAAATGGCTTGGAAATATCTTGACAACAAAATATTTATAACTTATTAATCAAACAAATATGTCAGTATATGTACAATTTATTTTTAAAAGTTGTCGATTTAAAATTTAATTCAATACGAATAATTAACAAAAATTTTCAAAAAATAATTTTGATGAAAATATTTTTGTGGAAAAATTTTTAAATTTATATCACACTTTGATATGTTAATGTAGCTTTCTCTCTTTTTTCTTTCTTTTTATGTGTGTATGTGTATATATATATATATATAT